GGTCCATAGTAGACCTGACGGTGTGAGACATGCTCGTGCGAGATATAGAGATAAGCACCATGCGATACGTAAGTGTGTTGTGAAATTCATCAACATTTACCTGGCTGATATTATGTTGAGGTCCATACATTTTTTTTTTTTTAAACACTTGTTTACATATTTTATCAAACTATTTTTTAAATCACATTGTATATATAAAATTAAAATAATATCTTAAATAATTACCTAAGCAGCAAACATGTTTTACATTGTAACCTTTTAAAAATCGGTTTCTTTTCAAATACACTTAAAATATGCAATGGTTTTACATATTTGAAGTGCATTTGAAAAGAACCAGATCTGGATCAGGGTTGTCCCTCCCAGATATTCAGATTAGTGGCCTAGTACAATGGGTTTCTTTAAGGAATGGTTAATAGACTTTTACATTTGGATCCCTGCATAATCATAATAGATAAAGTGTTTGGAAATTCATTATTATTACATTTCTGCAGTTTAACTACTATTGATTGATTTATCATTTAAAATATATAAAAGTAAAGACTTCCAGCTTTCCAGCTGTTGCTGTTCATTCAGCCTTGTATTGAAACTGTTCCAAATAGTGACCATAATTTCACGACTTAACAACTACCTTTTATGCTTAATGAGAGCAAACAGTCAAAAACGCTAAGAGAACTACATTGTGTGTATACACTGTTTGGATGTTTGTGTATCTGCCTACTTACTCTCAGGATGCTCCGTGTTCGGAGTCCCAACAGCTGTTTTCATCATTCACTCCTCACTCTCAACATTCTTCCCTTGGCGTCACAAATAATCCCTCACAAAATGCCCAAGTATACAGCAAAAATTTGTCCTCCATATTCTTGCTTCACTCTTTCGCTTTGTGTTTTTCTTTTTGGTGCGTTTTCCGAATAATATATTCTTGCTTTCAGACGACGGTGGACCAAATAAAAAAAAAAAGCCAGAAAAAACAAAAAGAAACAGAAAAGTTCACGTCTCTTTTTCTCCTTTTCTTTCTATATTTCCTGTCAGCGATGTAGTCAGGAAGGGGCTGTCCAGGGTGGTCAGCCAACCTCTTACCACCCCCTACACTCTGTCACACACACGGTTGAGCTAAAGAAACCTCACACACTAATATACTGCACTCCTTCTCCTCATCTCTGTCTCGCTTTCATAGTGAATGCAGCATAAACACTGTCCGCAGATGTGTTTACCCCAGAAACAGAGTTGTGAATAGTGAACTTCCCTCCCTAGAGTCTGAAATTGTCTGAACTTAAACAACTCCAGATGCTCAGGAACAACAAAAGAAGTTCCATAAGGTGTGCAGTCCAACATATGGTTAGTTTCACCATTGGGAGCGAATGGCATCCTACCCACCCCACCCCACCGTCCTCGATGCTCCTAATCGTTGGATCCATAATGTTTGCAAAGAATGTTGATGGAGAACATTAACATTACACAGCCTGTTTGAGAGACTTCAGAAGGGGGGGGGGAGCATGAAACCTTAAAGAGCATGAAGAACTTGTATGTTAATGCATCAAGATAATACTATGAAAATATAAGTTCAGATCTGCAAATTGTGTACTATGAATTTTTTTTTTTTTTTTAGAAGTCTGATGTTTTGCATGCCAAATCAATTTGTTTATTGGCCTAGGCTTGTTTGTGAGTACTTCACAAGAGTACTGTGAACCTGAGCGCTTGCCAGCAGATGCTTCCTGTCAGCGAGGTGTGACTTCCACAAGTGAGTGAACTCAAAGAAGAAAAGTCACAATCGCCGTCTTGACCCAAAAGCCCTAAGTGCAAGGTTTGTAGATGAGATCTTCTCTGTCTCTCACTATTGTGAGGTATCCTTATATCATTGTGGTAACTGAGTGATCGATTTTCACTTGATAACTGGGTTGTACAGTAGATATGTTGCTTTAACACCCTTAATGAGTCGTACAAACAAGGAAAAAGGTGGATTCTTGGGGTGGGAGGAAGTTTAAATGGCGGCAATGTTCTGGGTTCAGCTCAAGTGATGACTACCGTGGAATCTTGGAAGGGGTGGTGGGTGGTGGGTCTGACTCACTCCACACATC